AACTCCCAGAATCCCATAGCAGAACAGAGTGAGATTATGATTTCCCTCAATCTAGACACTATTGATGCTGTTTGGAATCACATTGAGTTTTTAGCTGTCGCATCATTAAAGAAATCTTAATGATCAATCTCAGACGGGTATCCTCTTATAGCTAGGTATAAGTAATAATAATGAAAATGATAATGTGCCTGTGCTGCTGCAGTTGTTGTTGTTGTTGTTGTTGTTGTTGTTGTTGTTGTGTGCCTTTAAATCATTTCCATTATGGTGACCTTAAGGAAAACTATCATGACGATTTCTGAGCAAGAAGGAGTTTGCCTTTGCTTTCCTCTGAGGCTGAGACAGTGTGACTTGCCCAAGGTCATGTAGTGGGCTTCCATGGCTGAGTGGGGATCTGGTCTACAGAGCTGGTCGACAGAGTCACAGTCCAACACTCGAATCACTGCTGTACACTGGCTCTCAGACTGCAGAAGTAAAGTATTCCTCATTGCAAGACTCTGTTGTTATCCTAAATAAGTGTTTCTCAACCTTCCTAATGTTCCGACCCCTTAATATAGTTCCTCGTATTGTGGTGACCCCCAACCATAACATTATGTTTGTTGTTACTTCCTAACTGTAATGTTGCTACTGTTATGAATTGTAATGTAAATATCTGATATGCAGGATGTATTTTCATTAACTGAACCAAATTTGGCACAAATACCCAATACGCCTAAATTTGAATACTGGTGGGGCTGGGGGATTGATTTTGTCATTTGGGAGTTGTAGTTGCTGGGAATTATAGTTCACCTACAATCAAAGAGCATTCTGAACTCCACCAACAATGAAATTGAACCAAACCTGGCACACAGAACTCCCATGACCAACAGAAAATACTGGAAAGGTTTGGTGGTCATTGACCTTGAGTTCTTGAGTTGTAGTTCACCTACATACAGACAGCCCTGTGGACTTAAACAAGGGTAGATCGGAACCAAACTTGGCGCAAATACTCAATATGCCCAAATGTGAACACTGGTGGAGTTTAAGTAAAATAGACCTTGACATTTGGGACTTGTAGTTGCTGGGATTTATAGTTCACCTACAATCAAAGAGCACTCTAAACCCCACCAATGATAAAATTGGGCCAAACTTCCAAGACAGAACCCCCATGACCATCAGTAAATACTGTGTTTTCTGATGGTCTTTGGCAATCCTTCTGACTCCCTCTTGTGACCCACCCAGGGGTCCCGACCCCCAGGTTGAGGAACGCTGCCCATAATACTCCTGACCTCACGATCGTGTTAAAAAACAAAGTATGGATTGTCGATGTTACAATCACAGGTGACAGCAGGATTGCAGAGAAACAACTGGAAAAGCTGACACAATATGAGGATTTAAAGATCGAACTGCAAAGACTCTGGCACAAGCCAGTCAAGGTGGTCCCAGTGGTGATCAGCACACTGGGTGCAGTGCCTAAAGACCCTGGCCTGCACTTAAACACAATCGGTGCTGACAAAATTACCATCTGCCAGCTGAAGAAGGCCACCTTACTGGGATCTGCACACATTATTCGCAGAAACATCACACAGTCCTAGACACTTGGGAAGTGTCCGATGTGTGATCCAATACAACAGCCAGCAGAGTGTCTGCTGTGGACTCATCTTGTTGTGTTTCAAATAATAATAGTAGTAGTAATAATAATAATAATAATAATAATAATAATGTGCAAGGAAGCTGATGAAACCATTGACCATACCCTCAGCTGCTGCAAGAAAATCACACAGTTCAAGCTGCTGCAAGAAAATCACAATCTACCTGAGGGGACTCAGAGCAGATTCCACCATATATACAGACACAGGCAAACATTTGACGTCTTTGAAACACAATGAAACACAAATACACAGACAAAGGCAAAGACTAGCAACAACAACCTAACTTTCAGGGTTGTTAGAAACACAGAACCATAAAGTTGGAAGAAAGATCACAACAGGATCCTATGGTGTAACACAGCTGGCTGAACCAACTTTGTCAATTCTCCTAGAAGGAAATAACTTCCCTCTTCCCTCAAGAGCCTTCTCCATGCCCTCAAAATCCAGATGATTGGGGAAACCCCATTCTCAAGTGGTGCAGAAAGCTGCGTGCGGAGGAAGGAGAAAGCCTTGTTGTTCTTTGTTCTTCTTCCTTGGGACTTTCCTAACAGACTCTGCTAACACACCCTCACTAGCATTTTTTGGCACGAAAATGATTGTGTGCCCAATGCTGACCATTTCCTTACCATAACGATATGGGGCATAGAACTGGACAATAAATGTAAAGCACCTTGTGCACTCAAAGATTCTATGCAAATGCCAAGAATTATTACTGTTATTTCAGAAAAATACTATACATTAAATATAAACATGGAGTAAAGATCAGTCAATGTAGCCGTTTTTCTTTCCGCATTCTGCATTTTATGGTTGTTTTAGACTTCCTGACATTCACGTGAGATTTTCTGGTACACACCCCATTATGCATCCAAAAAGAATACCTGCAAGAAGCTGTATTTCTCAGGAAGCTGAATACTATATCCAATGACCTGTTCTCTCTTTCTTTTCACGAACTTGCAACAAATACAAAGATATGAAACTTGAGGAACTAAACGTCACCATTTTGGGACTACAGTTACCAGAATTCCTTACCCAGGATACCCAATGGCTGAGATTTCTGGGAACTGTAATAAAAAAGAGTAACTTGTACAAGTTCTGCCTCCAGCTGCAACATCTTCAACTAAACCAGTGGCTCCCAACCTTTTTTTGACCAGGGACCACTTTGGCCAGGGGCTACTCTCCAACATTAGTACCAAAAGGGTTACAAATCAGTTTTTGGTCAACTTTAGATTCAGTTTGGTTATTTGGGGTCCTGATTTGGAAAATTGCATTGGATAGATCACATCAGCTCTAGTTTCTGAACATATGCTATCCAGTAGTTGCCATCTGCTAGCCCATAGAAAACCATATTTAATAAGCCTTGGCACCATAAGAGGGTTTTGCAAAACCAGTTGCTTTCGTTGCAACAGTGTAGTAACAGTGAGGCTGCAGACTACAATTTAGTTCTTGCAGACCACTGATGGTCCACGGAGCACAGGTTGGGACCCACTGATCAAAAAAAATACCTACGTCCTCCCCTAATCCTTACTTTGTTGCTTCTTTTCCACACCTAAGAAGTTAAGATATCTGGACCTAGCAGACAGCAAATGTGTGATTGCACCTATGAGTCAATGACAGAGGGCTAGTGGCATGATCTAAAACCCTGCCCACGCAACACATGCCAAGTGGGTGGCATGATGCCATATGTGGAAACTAACTCCCCATCACATGAGAAGCTCAAATTTTTCATGCAACCTTCCCATAGCAACACTTTGGTTGAGTCAAGCCAATGGTCCACCAATAAAGACAAGCAGCAGCAGTTCTCTAAGGTCTTTTCTTGACTGTAGCTGAAAATCACTAGTATTTCCTGGTGGTCTCTCATACATCTACAACAATGGTTCTCAACCTGTGGGTGCCCAAGTGTTTTGGCCTACAACTCCCTGAAATCCCAGCCAGTTTACCAGCTGTTAGGATTTCTGGGAGTTGAAGACCAAAATGTCTGGGGACCCACAGGTTGAGAACCACCGATCTACAGTATTAATAGGTTCTCCTTTTCTCAGCAACGTAAGGGGTAGAGGACCACCACTAAAGTGAAGAAAACTCCTAGGTCCTCCAGTGCCATGCTAGTGAATGTTGTGCTGGAGGAAAAGATTCCATAGATGGAACATATTATTCGAATTCACATATACAGTGTCCCCTCGCTACTTCACAGTTCGCTTATTGCGGACTCACCGTCTCACAGGGAGCAGCAAGGGAATACTGTATAGCTGCTCCCTGTTCCTTTCTTGCCAGGTTGGGCGCCCAAGGGGCCTCCGAGGTGGGGAGCAGTAGAGGCGGCGAGGAGGAGGCCACTGTTGAGTGGTCAAAGCATCCCTACCCCTCTTCGGAGGCCCCTTGGGCACCCTGCTTGGCGAGGAAGGGGCCTCCAAGGCGGGGAACTGCGGAGGTGGAGGAGGAGGAGCCCACTGCTGAAGAGGGCCTTGGCGACAGCGGCATCCTCCTCCTCGCCAGCTCTGCTGCTCCCCGCTCCTTCCTCACCAGGCTGGGCACCAGGCTTGGGTGCCCAGCCTGGTGAGGAGGGTCCGAGGCAGGGAGCAGTGGAGGTGGCGAGTAGGAGGAGGACATCACCACTGAAGAGGGCCTTGGCGGCGATGTCCTCCTCCTCGCCAGCTCCACTGCTCCCTGCTCCTTCCTCGCCAGGCTGGGTGCCAGGCTTGGGACCTCTGAAGCGGGGAGTAGTGGAGGTGGCGAGGAGGAGGTCGCAAAGTAGGGTCCCTCCACCCACTTGAGTGGGCAGAGTGTCCCAACTTCGCGGATTTTCACTTATTGCGCGTGGTCGTGGAACGGAACACCCCTAATAAGTGAGGGAACACTGTAATCAAATCCACAAAAGTTATACCTACAAAAGTGGAAGGTATAACTTGTGTGTACGTGATTGCAAGTGGTTCTCAACCTGGGATCCCCAGATGTTTTTGGCCTACAACTCCCAGAAATCCCAGCCAGTTTACCAGCTGTTAGGATTTCTGGGAGTTGAAGGCCAAAAACATCTGGGGACCCCAGGTTGAGAACCACTGGATTAAAATGTTCTCTTTAGACATCTCTAGGTCCTCCAGCATGATTATGGTCATCATCTACAAAGGTAGAGAGCCAACACCACCACCACACTTCCCTAAACACACCAAATTGTGTCCAATATTAAAAGCTGAACAAGTCTGGCCTGAACTAGTTCTGTGCCTAACAATGCAGCAGATGTCACATCAGGTTCATCAGTTCTGTGAAACAAGACCCACATTAACTCACCTGCTCAGTATTCTCTTTCCCAAAACTCTTACTTATGGTCATGTCCATTACAGAAGTATCTTAGCTGTTCGAAGCAACTGATCGACTGTGATTACTTACCACCGAAAGGGTTGATTTTCTTTGTCATTCGCAAGAGGATGGATTCCTTGAGCTCTCTCTTCTTCACGCACTGGATGCCCAGGTTCTGAAAACTGGAGAAAATATAATTATCTATTAGTGGCTTCACAAAGCAATCAATCATTGCCACAATTGGTGCAAAACTAAATTCTGGTTGGAATTTTAAAACTCTAAACTGGAGCTTTCCAAACTGTGTGTTGCATTAACGTAATGAGGAATCTCTAATGTCCCTTCTAATCCACATTATCAAAGTAGATAATGAACATTGTCTGCTTTGAACTGGATTATTTGAGTCTACATGGTCATATAATCCAGTTCAAATCTGGATTTTATATGAAAGAGTAGAAGGGGCCTAAGTCTATGTGAAATGCACAATGAACCTATACTTTAAAAATATAAATGAAATGTTTCCATGCAATATGTTGTGTACCACCACCTATGTATTTCGTTATTACACTTGATGGATGTGTCATCCTCATCTTTATAGGCTTTGGTGAATCTACACTGTAGGATGAATGCACTCTGAATCACAGGAGTTGTAATTTGGTGAATAACCAGCACTCTTTGGCAGACAAGGCTAAAGACCTTGGGAAACTACAACTCCCAGGATTCTAATACATTGAGCCATGACAGTTGAAGTGGTATCAAAATGCATTCATTCTACAGAGCAGATGCACCCTTAGACTTGGAGGAGCATCCATTTAGGAACTAGATCACAATTTCTCATGGAATTTGTTTGTCTTTCAGTTGAGGAGGCAAAAAACCAGCAACAGTGATCTGTTTGCATCTGCCTTCGTGCCGTAGCAGAAGAGTCACAAATGTGTGTGAGCTTCCACAACTCTTCCTGTGACTCACGGGTCTGTGACTCATGGGCGTTGCTCTTGCAAAGTCGCTGGAGGATAACATGGACGGCGTCCTCGGAGGTGCCCCTGACTCAGCACCTCCTCTCCAAACAAAAGACAATTTTGTATGACTTGAGGACAGATGTGAACTTCTTGGTCTTTGGGGTGATTAAGCCATTTTGACTTTGAGTGCATCTACACTGTAGAATTAATGCAGTTTGCCATCACTTTACCTGCTATGGCTCAGTGCTATGAAATCCTGGGAGCTGTGGTTTTATAAGGTCTTTAGCTTTCTCTGGCAAAGAGTAATGTTGGATCAACCAAATGACAAATCCCAAGATTTCATAGCACTGTGCAGTGGCACTTGAAGCAGTTTCAACCTGCAGTGCTATCCAAGGTGCTGAATCTTAGATAGGGTTCAGCTTCACCTTTAAAGTTCAGACAAAAACACAGAGCAGAATATATACTACGGCACTGACATGGAAACCACCAGCTTCCATTGGCGAAGACGAAAGGCCGAAGCCTGCAACAATTAAATTCTTTTCAACTGCTGGAAAAGTTTCTTTTTAAAGCTATAGCTTTTGTAAGCCACATTGAGTTCCAGACAGGAAAAAGGTGGATGATGATGATGATTAGAAACACAACAAGATTGGTACACAGCAAACAAGATCACTATGCTGGGTGTTGTACTGGATCACACGTCAGACACTTCCCAAGCATCTAGGACAGTGTGATGTATCGGTGAATAATGCATGCAGATCCCAGTAGGGTGGCCTTTTGCAGCTGACAGGTGGTAATTTTGTTAATGCCTATTCTGTTTAAGTGCAGGCCAAGCTCTTTAGGCACTGCACCCAATGTGCCGATCACCACTGGGACCACCTATACTGGCTTGTGCCAGAGTATTTGAAGTTTTATCTTCATATCATATAAACTTTTATTGTTTACTAGCCATCCTCTGGCATCCCCAGTCTGTGTATATGTGTTTTGTGTGTATATATATGTGGTTTTGAGCATGCGTTGTAATGTATATTTTATTTTTTTGGCTTTTTAAGTCTCTTCCACAGTGTTTTTCAGTGTTTTTATGAGTGATAGTCACTCTTTGGTCTGTTAGGGTTGTAGTGTCCAAATTTGGTGTTAATTTGTCCAGTGGTTTTTGAGTTATGTTAATTCCACAAACAAACAAACATTACATTTTTACTCAGTTCTTGTGGGTTTTTTCGGGCTATATGGCCATGTTCTAGAGGCATTTCTCCTGACGTTTCGCCTGCATCAGGTCACCTCACCTCTGAGGATGCTTGCCATAGATGCAGGCGAAACGTCAGGAGAAATGCCTCTAGAACATGGCCATATAGCCCGAAAAAACCCACAAGAACTGAGTGATTCCAGCCATGAAAGCCTTCGACAATACATTACATTTTTATTTATATAGATTATTGTGTAAGCTTTTATTTATCTACTAGCTATCCCCTGCACATGTTGCTGTGGACCAGTCTGTGTATATGTGTTGTGTGTGTGTATATATATGTGTATATGTGTGTATATGTTTGTGTATATGTGTATATGCGTGTGTTTGTATATATATATGTGGTTTTGTGCATGCATTGTAATGTATTTTTTGTTTTTTTAAGTCTCGTCTGCTGTGTTTTGCAGTATTTTTATGAGTGATGGTCACTCGTTGGCCTGATAGGTGTATTGTGTCCAAATTTGGTCTCAATTTGCCCATTGGTTTTTGTGTTACATTAATCCCACAAACGAACATTACATTTTTATTTATATAGATGATGATGATGATGATCCTACTATATCCTTCCCTTGCAAGCTTAACCACTAATGATGATGATGATGTTGGAAAAGACCATACAAAGGGCACACAATTCTACTTTCCGTAAACACACAAATAATAACAAAAACAACAATGATGCAATTTATTTGAAAGTGACCATAGTGATTAGAGTGTTGGGCTATGGGTGCATCTACAATGTTGAATGAATGTGGTTTGACACCACTTTAAGTTTCATGGCTCTATGTTACTGAATCATGGGAATTACAGTTTTACAAGGTCCTTAATGGAGAGAAAAGTTAAGCCATGCTTCGAACGCTTGCTCCTTGCTCCAAATTGCACCAGCTCAAAAACATCCTCAAAAATCAAGGTGGCCAACTTGTTTCCTATCAGCCCTTGCCAGTATAATCAGCAGGGAAGCATGATGGGAATTGCAGTCCAACAACACCAGCAGATTCTCGTATTTTCCATTCCTAGCAGATGAAAATGCTAACCGACTCATTATGGGTGTTTCCATGTAATGTGTAATTGTGCCCACAAAAACCACACAAAGAAGTAATGTGGTAGGAGTTGGGTGTACAATTAGCCAGATAGATATCGTTGCCTCAAGCAGTTGATTCTGGCACGGAAGAGCAAATACAGCTAATGATCTGAATTGGGAATTGTATTGACCGGTCAAAAGCAAAGGTATTGTTGAAGGCTTTCATGGCTGGAATCACTGGGTTGTTGTAGGGCTATATGGCCATGTTGTAGAAGCATTCTCTCCTGACATTTCGCCTGCATCTGTGGCAAGCATCCTCACAACCTCTGAGGATGCTTGCCATAAATGCAGGCAAAACGTCAGAAGAGAATGCTTCTACAACATGGCCATATAGCCTAAAAAACCTACAACAATCCAGACCACACCTGGAATATTGTGTCCAATTCTGGGAACCACAATTGCAGAGAGATATTGACAAGCTGGAATGTGTCCAGAGGAGGGCGACTAAAATGATCAAGGGTCTGGAGAACAAGCCCTATGAGGAGCGGCTTAAGGAGCTGGGCATGTTTAGCCTAAAGAAGAGAAGGCTGAGAGGAGATATGATAGCCATGTATAAACATGTGAGAGGAAGCCACAGGGAGGAGGGAGCAAGCTTGTTTTCTGCTTCCCTGGAGACTAGGACGCAATGGAACAATGGCTTCAAACTACAAGAGAGGAGATTCCATCTGAACATGAGGAAGAACTTCCTGACTGTGAGAGCCGTTCAGCAGTGGAACTCTCTGTCCCGGAGTGTGGTGGAGGCTCCTTCTTTGGAAGCTTTTAAACAGAGGCTGGATGGCCATCTGTCAGGGTGATTTGAATGCAATATTCCTGCTTCTTGGCAGGGAGTTGGACTGGATGGCCCATGACGTCTCTTCCAACTCTTTGATTCTGTGATTCTAAGGCGAAAGACATCAAACTATAGCTCCCAGATTCCATAGCATTAAAGTGGCATCGAACTGCATTAACTCAACAGTCTGAACAATGCACCCGTAATAGATACCGACTCCACTTACACAAGCCACAGTAATAAACAGGTATCCCAAAAGGCTACAGACCTCGTAAAACTATAGCTCCCACAGCTCCACAGAATTGAGCCATGGCAGTTAAAGTGGTATGAAAACTGCATTAATTTTACAATGCAAATACACATCTAGTTATTGTGATTTCATGCTAAAAAAAAGTCCCCAAATCATATGCGTTTACTATGCTAACACACACCACACACACATACAAAACGATGCAGGTTGTTCATATGGTTGTTCAGGCTTCCCACAGAAAGGGAACCACGTGATCAAGAGGGAAAGGGTTGTTTTTCTACACCAGCTTCCGGATCTCTTCAAGTTCGAGAGATTCAATGGAAAGCGACTGTCCTGAATTTGCATGTGATGGTATCAGGTCACAAGGCAGCCTGGAGAGGGGTTCTCCCCACCTACCTCCAGCAACCTGATTCTTTCCCGCATGGAAAACCCATGACATCAGCCCCAGTGCGGGGAGGATGTGAAATAGGAAGTTGAAGACCAGATCATGCTCTGCAATGTGAGAAAGTGGAGCATGTTGCAACAGAGGCCTTGCCCTGGCTCGGTTGGGTGCATCTACACTGTAGAATTAATGCAACTTGGCACTGCCATGGCTCAAGATATGGAAGCCTGGGGTCTGTCATTTTACAAGGCTTTCTCTGCCTCACAAAACTACAAGTCCCAGCACTGCATAGCATTGAGCCAAGGCAATTAAAGTGGTGTCAAACTGGTGTCAACTTCAAAACTATACAGTAGAAAATGGACGAATTTTGGCCCTTTGAGTGTTTTGGACTTCAACTCTCACAATTCCTAACAGATTTGCACCAAGACGTGACACTTTGCCGCACAACCAGATCATGTGCCAACCAGATGGATGGCTTTCAACACACCAAGCATTGTTTGCTCAGAATGAAAGGCTCATCACACGCATCCAAAAGCCCACACGATCATTTTCCAAAGATCTGCAGGTTGCCCAACTGACACCTGCTGACAATTCCAGGATTAAATTACAAAGAAGAGAGGAAATGGTTCTACCTTATTCACATAAACGTAGGAACTGATTAGGATATAAGGCAATAATAATAATAATGAGGTGGGACAGAGGACAAATGAAGCTTGCAGGCTGTAGACATCTTCCACATTGCCAATGGAAACTGTCCCAGGGTTCATCTACACCAGACATAGTGAAACTTCAGCCCTCCGGGTGTTTTGGACTTCAACTCCCACAATTCCTAACAGTGGCTGATAGGAATTATGGGAGTTGAAGTCCAAAACATCTGGAGGGCTAAAGTTTGCCCATGCCTGATCTACACTGTGGAATTAATGCATTTGAACAGCCATGGTTCAACACAAATATAGTTGTAGTTGAATGTATTGTTGAAGGCTTTCATGGCTGGAATCACTGGGTTGTTGTAGGGTTTTTCGGGCTATATGGCCATGTTCTAGAGGCATTCTCTCCTGACGTTTCACCTGCATCTATGACACTACCTCTGAGTATGCTTGCCATAGATGCAGGCAAAACGTCAGAAGAGAATGCCTCTAGAACAGTGGTTCTCAACCTGTGGGTCCCCAGGTGTTTTGGCCTACAACTCCCAGATATCCCAGCCAGTTTATCAGGTGTTAGGATTTCTGGGAGTTGAAGGCCAAAACATCTGGGGACCCAAAGGTTGAGAACCACTGCTCTAGAACATGGCCATACAGCCCGAAAAAACCTACAACAACCCATAGTTGTAATTTTATGAGGTCTGTAACCTTCCCTGACAAAGAGTGCTGGTGCCAAACTACAACTCCCATGATCCTACAGCATTGGGCCATGGCAGTAAAAGTGACCACATTAATTCTATAGTGTAGGTGCACTTCCCAGTTAATCCTCTGCCATCCCACTTTCCCAACTGCTGCACAAATGTCCTGCTTCCGTTTTCCTTCTCCCACTTTACTCCTTCATTTATCTCCATTGCTGCAAACAAAGTTCAAAACAGTTTGCATTTGCTTAACCTGATAGGAGGAAAAAAGGAGGGAGTAAATGCTTGGCCTTCCCAGTAGCCTCCTGTTTTTTTCCCCAGTCTTTCCCAAATCCAGTACACAAACAATTTTTGTGCAATGTTTTAAAACCACTAGATAAAAGTCTAAGAAACCAAAATGTTTCTGTGGTGAAAAGAATATATGAGCTCTTGAATGTGCCCAGAGGAGGATGACTAAAATGATCAAGGGTCTGGAGAACAAGCCCTATGAGGAGCGGCTTAAGGAGCTGGGCATGTTTAGCCTGAAGAAGAGAAGGCTGAGATAGCCATGTATAAATATGTGAGAGGAAGTCACAGGGAGGAGGGAGCAAGCTTGTTTTCTGCTTCCCTGGAGACTAGGACACGGAACAATCGCTTCAAACTACAAGAGAGGAGATTCCATCTGAACATGAGGAAGAACTTCCTGACTGTAAGAGCCGTTCAGCAGTGGAACTCTCTGCCCCAGAATGTGGTGGAGGCTCCTTCTTTGGAAGCTTTTAAACAGAGGCTGGATGGCCATCTGTCAGGGGTGATTTGAATGCAATATTACTGCTTCTTGGCAGGGGGTTGGACTGGATGGCCCTTGAGGTCTCTTCCAACTCTTTGATTCTATGATTCTATGACGTGCAGAGCAGAGAGAGGAATCTTAGGGCGTGGTGAATACCTTGAAAAACTACCAATTCATTTACATTTTCCTCATTGGTCATCTTTGGTATTTTTTTTGTAATCTTTGGTAATTTTTCCTTGAAAGGCATGCTCTTTCAAGCTGTGGTTGATGCTTAAGTGGTTGATGCTTATTGAATAGCACCATCAGGGACTGCCCCTTGTAACATGACCAAGACCAGCCGATATCTCAGGTCTTCACCCCTAAATGTCAAGGTCTGAGACAGTACAATGGAAACTACAAAGGAAACAACAGTAGCCAAGGACAATGTCTTAATCTGTCCAATACCAGGGTACTGATAGAGACATACATTTAAGGAATGGAGACTATAGTCAAATGCTACTTCTTTCCACACATAATGAATGGGCGTATGGGGGAGAGGAGGAAAAAGGTCTATCATATCTGTGATGTCTTATCATTACAACCACCACCACCAATTACTTATCTAGCTAGCTATTTACTTCTCATGCCACATTGTCCAGATGTCTGACCACTGTCTCCCAAAGCTGTTGCTCTACTCTGAACTCAAGAATGGAAAACGGAATGTTGGTGGACAGGAAAAGAGATTTAAAGATGGGCTCAAAGCCAACCTTAAAAACTCTGGCATAGACACTGAGAACTGGGAAGCTCTGGCGTGTGAGTGCTCCAGCTGGAGATCAGCTGTGACCAGCAGTGCTGCAGAATTTGAAGAGGCATGAATGGAGGGTGAAAGAGAGAAACGTGCCAAGAGGAAGGCATGTCAAGCCAACCCTGACTGGGTTCACCTTCCACCTGGAAACCTATGCCCTCACTGTGGGAGAAGATGCAGATCAGGAATAGGGCTCCATAGTCATCTATGGACCCACCCTGGAAGATCATGCTACTCGAACAATGAGGGATGACCTAAGTAAAGTAAAGTCTCATGCTTTCCTCATAAATAAGACTTTAGTAGTATGCAAGGATGGGCAAGACTTCAAGGGCTGAACCGACACTGAGTTCGCCAGTATAACCTGTCACTTTAACCTGAAGAACATCTAAAATGTTCACGGTGAACTCCAACAAAACACTATGACCTCTGACTTCAACCAAACAGAGTAACATCAACTACTTACATCAGCACTCTGCGTTCTGGACCAAATTCGGCTTCGTAGTAACCATTTTCACAGTCTTTTCCAACAAGCCGGTGGGGATGTGGCCGGTATGGCTCGGTCTTGGTTACCAATGTGATCCTGATTTTTATTTTTCCTACATAGTTCAAAATCTGCCAAGGGTTGGAGAGGGAAAAAAGACAAAGAGAGTCAGAATCATCAGCATCATCCTCTAGCTAGAAAATGAATCATATCATCAAGTTTATTTATTATTTATTTATTTAAAACTTTTATACCCCGGTCTTCTCAACCTCTAAAGAGGGACTCAGGCCGGCTTTCAGCATAAATTAGTACACAAATACAATTAAAAACATAATCACATCAAAAAGTTAAATACAACTGAATAAATACACAAACCAAGTTGCCAAGATAAAATCATGTTCATCTCAATCTGCCAGTGTGGTCAACAGTTATTAGCTAATTGCTGAACTTCCCAATCATTCTGAGAATGCTATGTCCCAGAGCCAAGATTTCACTAGCTTTCTGAAGGTCAGGAGGGAAGGGGCAGATCTAATCTCCATTGGGAGAGAGTTCCACAACCGAGGGGCCACCACCAAGAAGGCGCTGTCTCTCGTCCCCAACAGACGCATTTGCGAAATTGGTGGGACTGAGAGAAGGGCCCCTCCAGAAGATCTTAACAACCTTGATGGTTCATAGGGGAGAATCCATTCGGACAGATAAACTGGGCCGGAACCGTTTAGGATTTTGTAGGTCAACACCAGTACTTTGAATTGTGCTTGGAAGCTAATTGGTAGCCAGTGGAGCTGATGCAGCAAAGGAGTAGTGTGCTCCCTGTACCCCACTCCTGTTAGTAATCTTGCTGCCGCACGTTGGACTAGTTGCAGCTTCCGAGCAGTCTTCAGAGGCAACCCCACGTAGAGAGCGTTGCAGTAGTCTATACAGGATGTGGACCACCGTGGCCAAGTCAGACTTCCCAGTTCCAGATGTAGAAGATATGTTTCACATGCAAAATATCCATGGCTAATACAGAGCTGCAAAAGACTCCAGACTCTACTAAAATGGGTGGACAATTGGTCCGACTTGGTATAAAAAAGCTTCCAGATACTGCCCCTGGACCTAAATGCACCTTTAACTTGCATAAGCAGATGAAATTACATTTTAACAATTGATTTGACCAGTGGTCACTTGTGATTTTGGGATCAGTGGGATCCAATTAAGGTTTCAGTCTGAATTCAAAGGAGCTCTCCAAGGTCCTGCACTCCAAATAGGATCAGCACCCATGTTATCACCATTCAAGTTGTGGCTAACATCTGGAGAAGATCGATCACCACTATCCCTAGGGACAACATAAAAAGTCATGTGTTGCATGTGTATATGAATTGGAACTTCAAAGCTGTGTCTACTCAGAGCTCTTTTCCATTCGATTCATTGGGGCTTGTTCCCAGGTAGCTGAATAAAGCAAGAGTGGGAATCACATGGATGACAAAATGCCCAGCCCTTAGGACACAGAATTACACTCTCAGGCACCATCTTACATCTAGTTACTTCTGAGTCCCTGGTGGTGCAATGGGTTAAATTCTTGTGCCAGCAAGACTGCTGACTGACAGGTCAGCAGTTTGAATCTGGGAAGAGTGGGTTGAGCTCCCTCTGTCAGCTCCAGCTCCCCATGTGGGAACATGAGAAAAGCCTCCCACAAGGATGATAAAAAAATCAAATATCCGGGTGTCCCCTGGGCAATGTCCTTGCAGATGGCCAATTCTCTCACACCAGAAGCAACTTGCAGTTTCTCAAGTTGCTCCTGACATGGGGAAAAAAAACAGCTTGTGAGTAAACCTCAGCAAACCCCATGAAACTTACTTCCACATACATATAAATAGTGGAGGCACCATAACATTGTAGAAGAGGAATACACAGTTTACAAAAAGACCATTCTAATCTCCCATCCTGTCATTGCCACTTGGTCTTAGTAATGTTTTTAATCCCCTTCTGGCAAAACCCTTATTATTTTCCAATAGGAATAGTAGTACAGATTGAGTCTCCCTTATCTGGAAATCTGAAATACCGCAAAAATTCAAAATTGTTCACATTAGTGAACGGGATAGTGACATATTTGTTTTCTGATGGCACACAAACTTTGTTTCATGTAGAAACCTATTAAACATATTGCCTATTAAACTGCCTTCAGACTATAAGATGTATATAAAGCATAAATTAATTTCTTATTTAGACTTGAATCCCATCTCTAAAATACCTATATGCAAATACAAGTATTCCAAAATTTGGGGTCAGAACCCAAAATCCTAAATATTTTGACCCCAAGCATAAGGGATGCTCAACCTGTAGTAGAATGTGGATGCCAATAATTATGAGTAACGTTGCTCCTTGTAACAATTTTGATTTTTCAGGTAATGAGGTCATAACCAAGTCACATCTCAAATATAATGCAGTAGAGCGAATTTATTTTATTGATGCATATTGGTTTCAGGTTGCATTTGACAGTTACCATTAGATGGCATTTTAAAGCCATGTTGACAGAAGATGATGGGACACAGGTAATCTATTATTATTATTATTATTCGAAACACAACAAGTTGAGTCCATAGTAGACACTCTGCTGGTTGTTGTATTGAATCACACATTGAACACTTCCCAAGTGTCTAGGACTGTGTGATGTATCGGCGAATAATGCGTGCAGATCCCAGTAAGGTGGCCTTTTGCAGCTGGCAGATAATTTTGTCAGCGCCAATTGTGTTTAAGTGCAGGTCAAGGTCTTTAGGCACTGCACCCAGTGTGCCGATCACCACTGGGACCACCTTTACTGGTTTGTGCCAGAGTCTTTGCAGTTCGATTTTTAAATCCTCATATCTTGTCAGCTTTTTCAGTTGTTTCTCTGCAATCCTGCTGTCACCTGGTATTGCGAGATCGACAATCCATACTTTGTTTTTTAGCACGATTGTGAGGTCAGGAGTGTTGTGCTCCAGAATTCTGTCTGTCTGAATTTGGAAGTCCCAGAGGAGTTTGGCGTGCTCATTCTCTGTAACTTTTTCCGGCTTGTGATCCCACCAGTTCTTTGTCGTGGGCAGATGGTATTTGTGGCACAAGTTCCAATGAATCATCTGAGCAACGGTGTTGTGCCTCTGCTTGTAGTCTGTCTGCGCGATCTTCTTGCAGCAGCTGAGGATGTGATCTATTGTTTCATCTGCTTCCTTGCAGAGTCTACATTTGGGATCTGTTGTCGACTTTTCAATTCTGGCTTTGATGGCATTGGTTCGAATTATTATTATTATTATTATTATTATTATTATTATTATTATTATTATTGTGGTCTATTTCATATAGTTGTATTACCATAGTTTTCAAGTTTTTTTATCATTCTCCAAACAATTGTACATCCTTTCCCTCTCTGATTCCTCTCTTTGGAAATTTGTTAGGGCAACTCTAGAGTAACTTCTAGCAGAATGATTAATATTAATACTGTTTGTTATTATCCATGGTTACCTCTTCCCATGGTAAGTAAAATAAATTAAGAGTGATGGATATATTCCTTTCCAAGGCTATATTTTTATGAAATAGGCAATACCTGTATAGATGGGAAAGTCCGGTTGATATCCGTTGTGTGTTCTCCTGGGATGCTTCCCGCTGATCTCCCTTCACATTTGTACCGGAAGCGCATCCCTCTCTGCCTGGGTTGCTCACATATTTCAATATAGGGCTCATGACCACCTTTAGAAGGAACAAAAGAAGAACCTCAGCATTAGAAACAACAACAAACCCTTATCTTATCCCAAAAGGTAAGAGCTGAAAAACAACAGAAACATAGGGAAGAATGTAGATTGGGAATGACTGCCAGATCTCCGAACAGTTTGCAATTTCCAGCACCTGTTTAAAAAGAGCAGCCATAACTTCTTCAATATCACCAAGACTAAATGACTAAAGGAGCTGGGGGTAGTGACGGCCGACAGGGTGCTCTGGCGTGGGCTGGTCCATGAGGTCACAAAGAGTCAGAAACGACTGAACGAATGAACAACAACAACAAACGGATAAACAGAACAGTCCAAGCAACAGTGAGTGAAATGAGTCCCCTGGGGAGATAGGGCGTGTTGTTATTATTACTAGCTTGGGTGCCTGGCGCCTTAAATGCATAAAGTTATGGATGAACTACAACTCACAGCATGACAGGTTGAGCCCCTGAAACTCCATCAGTAGTTAAAGTTATTCATGTCGGGCAAGTTTGCTTAAATGCATCATTGGTGGAGTTCAGTGTGATCTCTGGCTGAAGGAGATCACACTGAACTCTATGGATTCTGGCTATAGTGGGTCATATAATCTATGGATTCTGGCTATAGTGGGTCAGTCCCCTCAAATACCCCTAGTAGGTTCAGTTGGTCATAGGGGATCTGTGTGCCAAGTTTGGTCCAGATCTATCATCGGTGGTGGTCACAGTGTCTCTAGATGTAAGTGAACTACAACTTTTAGAAACGAAGGTCAGTTCCCTCCAAACCCCTCCAGTATTTTCAGTTGGTCATGGTGGTTTTGTGTGTCAAGCTAGATCCAAGGCCATTGTTGGTAGGGTCCAGAGTGTTCTTTGATTGAAGGTGAACTATATACCCAAGTACCTACAATGGCTATAAATCCAGGTGAATTCCCCCCAAATTCTTCAAGTATGTTCTGTTGGCCATGGGGGTTCTGTGTGCCAAATGTGGTCCAGGTCCATTGTAAGTGGGAGTCACAGTGCTCCAACTACAACTTCCATCATGTAGAGTCAATCCCCAAACTCCTCCAGTATGTTTGGTTACCAATTAATTCTGCTCTGTTTGTTGTGCAGACGAGGACGTTAAGATCGTCTGGGGAGGCCCTGCTCTCGGTCCCGCCTGCGTCGCAGGCGCGGCTGGCGGGAACGAGGGACAGGGCCTTCTCGGTGGTGGCCCCTCGGCTATGGAATGCTCTACCCGCAGACATCAGGCAGGCCCCTTCGTTGCTGGAGTTCCGGAGGAAGGTCAAGACGTGGCTCTATGAACAGGCGTTCGGTCAACAAAGCAACTGAACTCATGAAGACGGTATGAATGAACAAAGGAATGGTAGAAGGATTATGAGAACGGAATCTGATTTTTACTGAGGCGTTGATGACCACGTTGTTTGTCTTGTATTGTCTGTCGTGTATGTTGTGTTTTAACTAATTGCTACTGTTATATAAATTGCATTGTAAACCGCATTGAGTCGCCGAATTAGGCTGAAAAATGCGGTATAAAAATAAAGTAAATAAAATAAAAATAAATAAAGATGAAATTAGTAGGAAAGGGTTAAGGGAGAGGCAGTGGGCAGGATCATGCAAATTCCACACCAATGGAGACTAGTCACTCTTATTGCAACAGTGTAGTAATGGTGAGGCCTTGGACCATATTTTAGTTCTTGCAGACTACTTGTGATCCATTGACAACAGGTTAGGAACCACTACTCTTGAAGTTGCTCATTTCAATACCACTGGAGTTTGCAGTTTCACATTTCCACTGTAAATCCATGAATGTATTTATGCAGGTCATAATCTTGATATTAAGCTTAATATGAGTATGCATGCACTGTTCCCAAATTTCCAAGCCTCCAATGCAGGGTCAGTGTAGGATCTGACTGCAAGATTTTTCTACCTGTGAGGCTCAGCTTCATGGCAATGTTTGGGTGCCAATCTTAACGAATCAACATACAAAACAGAAGCAAATGCAATATAGAAATTGCACGACAAAGAATTCACCTTCCAGTTTCCTTTAATGCCAGTGTTTTATCCACAGAGAGAAGGGACTGTCCCTGAACTCCAGCTCCTCCTTCACTTTCCCTCTCCTTCTGAATGGAACCAGCAAGTACAATCCCTTCCTTGGGGTTTCCCCATGGGCAATTGTAGAGTTAATGCAGTTTCACACCACTTTAACTGCCACGACTCAGTGCTCTGGAATCCTAGGAGTTGAAGTTTTACAAGGTCTTTAGCCTTCTCTTCCAAAAAGTGCTAGCGCCTCACCAAACTATAAGATTCCATAGCATTGAGCCATGCCAGTTAAAGTGGTGTCAATCTGCATTATTTCTACAGTGTAGAGATGCACCCACTATTCCAGAACGTGGTTGTTCCTCCTTTTTCGATGTAACCTGTCATTTTTGCCCCAAGTGCTATGAGAATGAGAGAGAGAGAGAAAGTTATTTGGTTTCTCAGCCTGGTCACATCATCATCACCCAGCCGTAATGTATACTACGTCAAACAGATCAGCCTCATTATACAGACTCAGATCTGTGGTTGGAAATAGGCATTAGTGCTCATGAATGAGCTGGGGGCGTGAATGAATGGAAGCAGCAGCAGCATCCAGCGACTCAATACATAATCTTCCTTTTCATATTCTTTTTTAATTAACTGTTTCCTCTCTTGTTCAGGACATCGCTGCCAGGGTGCAGCTACACTGTACAGTTAATGCAGTTTGACACCACTTGCACTGGCAAGGCTAAATACTATGGAATCCTGCAAGTGGCAGCTTTACAAAGTCTTTAGTCTTGGGTTGTTGTAGGTTTTTTCAGGCTATATGGCCATGGTCTAGAGGCATTCTCTCCTGACGTTTCGCCTGCATCTATGGCAAGCATCCTCAGAGGTAGTGAGGTCTGTTGGAACTAGGAAAAAGGGTTTATATATCTGTGGAATGACCAGGGTGGGACAAAGGACTCTTGTCTGCTGGAGCTAGGTGTGAATGTTTCAAGTGATCACCTTGATTAGCATTTGATTGCCTGGCAGTACTTGGAGCAATCTTTTGTTGAGAGGTGATTAGATGTCCTTGTTTGTTTCCTCTCTGTTGTTGTGCTGTTGTAATTTTAGAGTTTTTTAAATACTGGTAGCCAGATTTTGTTCATTTTCATGGTTTCCTCCTTTCTGTTGAAATTGTCCACATGCTTGTGGATTTCAGTGGCTTCTCTGTGTAGTCTGACATGGTGGTTGTGAGAGTGGTCCAGCATTTCTGTGTTCTCAAATAATCTGCTGTGTCCAGGTTGGTTCATCAGGTGCTCTGCTATGGCTGACTTCTCTGGTTGAAGGAGTCTGCACTGTTTTTCATGTTCCTTGATTCGTGTTTAGTCCCTATGTAGACTTGTCCACAGCTGCATGGTACACGGTAGACTCCTGCAGAAGCGAAAGGATCTCTCTTGTCCTTTGCTGAACGTAGCATTTGTTGGATTTTCTTGGTAGATCCAACAGACCTCATTACCTCTGAGGATGCTTGTCATAGATGCAGGTGAAACGTCAGGAGAATATGCCGTTAGAACATGGCCATATAGCCTGAAAAAACCTACAACAATCCAAGACATTCTCACTGATTAGAATTTGGATGCAGATCTGGTAAGTCAAAACTCTCTCTTTCCGACACACAGCCCTAGTTACATCCAAACAAATCAGAAACAAAAAGAAAAATATTTCTGAGACTTCCTCCTCGGTTTCAGTGTAACAACTGCAAAGGGCTGATTAGCTAGAAATATAAATGTGTCTTTTACTAGGAAGTAGAAACTTCCCCTTCTTTTCAGAAAGGAGAGAGAGAAAAAAACCCTCAGGGTTGGTATCAAGTTATAAATATATTAGGTGTAGCTGGTGATCTTGAGTTTTCAATCACCCACACAGTTGTTGATCTAGCAGAGCTTTAAATCACCCACTCAATGGCGCGCATGCAAATCTGACAATCCCGGCGCTCTTCACTTGAGTGAGCAGATTAAACACAGAGCCAGAAACACTTGGTTAAACAAACTCAACACATGCTTGGTGACGTGTTTGAATTTCCTTCGCAATCGAATGCTAATTAATGCCAGGAACCTCAGCACGGATGGAAGCAAAGGCTCAAGGGTAGTGCCAGAATAAATTATTATACAAAGTGTTTGGCAACACCAATTATGAAGGAAATTCCGCTTCCTAATACTAGAGGAACCAATGATTAGAGATGTGAAGGTCCACAAAAAACAAAATCAGGAAGAAAGTACTTAATTAAGTTTCTGGAGTAGATATGCAATATTGTCTTTGGGAATGATGATGAATCAGGATGTTCATTGGCAGGACTGTGAAATCAGGAAGCCCCTTGTCACAGACTGGCACATGGGCGGTGGATATGGACTCAACCATTCTACTTCAAGGTCCGAGGCAGTTGAGTGGTCCGGCAGCTGTATCCATGACTGAGCAACCCTTTTTAGGGTCCACTCTGCTCACCCCACACAGGGAAGGGGCTAGAAAAGGTGCCCTAAAGGTAGTCTGCCTCTCTTATCCCTGACTGGACTGCCACGTCTAGAGAGGTCACCACCCTGCAGCCAAAAAAGGAAAACGAACTTTGGAAAATCCTGCAAATCTCTTGAGAAGACAGGTGGACAAATGCCAGCATGCTGGAAGAAGCAAAGACCACCAGCATTGAAGCAATGCTCCTCCGCCATCAACTCCGCTGAACTGGACATGTTGTCTGAATGTCCAATCACTGTCTCCCAAAGCAGTTACTATACTCCCAACTCATTCACTACCGCTTTTCCCAGTCAATGGCAATGTTCCAGGACTTCAGGTGGGGTATTTCTCAGCTTGATCTGGAAATGCCAGTGCCTAATATATTATTAGGAGCCCCCGGTGGCGCAGTGGGTTAAAGCACTGAGCTGCTGAGCTTGTTGATCGAAAGGTCGCAGGTTCGATTCCGGGGAGTGGCGTGAGCTTCCGTTGTCAGCCCTAGCTTCTGCCA